AACTAAAGAATAATGCAGACGCTTCTTGAAATCCCTCGTGCCATAAACTTCAGGAAGGAAGTACATTACATCTGGCTTGCCAGGCGGGCATTCTACATTTGTTTGATGTCTGATCCGATGCTGATTCCACATCTCTGCAACCTCGGAAAAATCACGCTGGATTAGTGGCGTGAAAGCGAATCGTGCACATTCGATGTGAAGATCATTTGAAGTATCAAATACTCCTGCGTCTCTCAAATCCTCGAAAAAGTTTATCCACTCCTGTCCACTTAAACGCTTCATTTGAGACCACCATGCTTCTATCCGTTGATTGGCGGAGGAACGACCGTATATAAAACTTCGTCCGGCCCTGAATGAATCGTTGTGTCGTAAATAAACTCTAAGAAGAAATGTGCAATATTCTGGGATTTTTATTCGAAGGCCCGACTTAAATCCACAGAATCCGTCCAGAGAATCCATCGATTGCAGAATGAACGGATATATCCCAAACGGCTTCAGTTAATCAAAACCGTCTATGTGGATCAGATACTTTGGGCCCTTCGAAATGTAACGTCGGCGCCTAAAGCGTCGGATAGATCTCAACCGGACACCCTCGGGATCAAGGGCTCTTAAAAGGTGTCTGACCGTATGCTGCGAAACACGCAAGTTGTACCGAGTTGTCAAAAGACGCCACATAAAACGATACGCGAAGGAATTTGATGTGTTGTTAAGTACTGAAATCATAACCTCGATGACATCTTGTAGATCTGACTCCTCGCGACGACGTAGCCCAAGTTGTCGAAGAATTCTACGCAAGTGACGTAGACTTATAGCAATGTCATGCCGAATGCAAAGGAATGCAATGATTTCACAAGCAGTATAGCCACTTAAGAAGTAATGAGCAATCAATTCGTCCCTGGTAACACCACCATGTCCAGTTATTTCTGCTGCTGTGTAGGGTATAGCTGGTGCTGAAGCAGTCGCAAATATAGTGAACAAGACGAGCTGTATTGAAATACAAATTAAAAATAAGGTGAAGATCTTCTAGAATGCAAAATGTATTTCTGACTACACCTATGCATGAAAATGTGATACTTTGTATGCTAACGTTTGTTTACGCGAATTTAAAGATAATTAAAAACTGATATGAATTACAAGTGAATTTCATTACTCAGGCATGCAGCTTTTCCTCGTGTCTGTTGATTTCCTCATTTGTTTGTAACGTACTATGAAGGCCATTAAAAATTAGAAAAAAACCACCGTGCACAGTCTTGTGTGAATTTAAATTTCATCAGTTTTCCTTAATTCATAGTCAAGTCTGATAACTGCTCAAGTTGCATCGTGATTGCACATGGATATGGATAGAAAACAGCAAAGTGACCACATTCCGTTTTATGATGATTAAAGCACAAATTTGACTTGATCCCTACTTACCCACAACAAGCAGCAAGACATCATGACCTCTTATCAAATCAGCGACGGGATAAATGCAAGCCACCCGTCCACCTGTGTGTTTTGAAGACGGCTTTAATGCTATCCTTGAAAAATTATGTCATGACGTCGTCATCCTATTTTAAGGATGCCGTCATCCCATCATGAATTATCTCGGGATCTCATCATCCTATTTTTTGGATGTCGTCATCCCATAATGATTTATCTCAGGATGTCGTCATCCTATTTTTACGATGTCGTCATCCCTTAATAAATTATCTCGGAATCTTGACATCCTATTTTCAGGATGTCGTCATTCTATTTTCAGCATGTCGTCATCGCATCATAAAATATCTTGGATGACGTCATTCTATTTTTTGGATGTCGTCATCCCATAATGAATGATCTCATGATGTCGTCATTCGTTTTTCAGGATGTCGTCATCCCATAATAAATTATCTCAGGATGTCGTCATCCTATTTTTAGGATGTTGTCATCCCATAATAAATTATCTCAGGATGTCGTCATCCTATTTTTAGGATGTTGTCATCCCATCATAAATTATCCTAGGATGTCGTCATTCTATTTTCAGGATGTTGTCCTCCCATCATATATTATCTCAGGATGTCGTCATCCTATTTTTGGGATGTTGTCATGCCCTGATAAACTATCTCAGTATGTCATCATGCCAGAATAGATGGTCTTAAGATGTCGTCATCCTGTTTTCAGGATGTCGTCATGCAATATTAAAATATGTCAAGATGTCGTCATTTTGCTTTGAGGATGTCGTCATCCACTAACAAATAATCTCAGGATGTCGTCATCTTGCCTGTAATATGTCGTCATCTTGAGATAAAATAAGTCAGTATCTGAACAAGTCGGATGGCACTTCCAGAGCTCCGTAGATACATCAATGTGTAGACTGTTTTTTCCTTGTTTTCTGGTTGTTTTCATTCGGTTTTCTGGAGAGGCATATGCTACCCAGAGTGCACTATACTTCCTTTGAACTTTGGTGACCTCATGCATGTACTGGGTGTATGGAAGATTTTATTTCAGTTACAATTTGAATCAGCACTGCAATGGGCATAGGACAGGCAGACATGTAGTCAGGAATAATTGCATCAAATTTGTGATTGTACACTTTGTCTTTTGCACACAAGTAGCTGTCAGTATGTTGGGTTGGTGTTATAAACAACTATTAGATTAGTATCTGTCTGGTTTTATAGTCAGTACTCTGAATTTTTGATGTGATCTGGCAAGTCATGGTGCGTGATTTATGCATGGATTGTTGCATGTACAGATATGCATAGAGATGAGTGCAATTATCATCAACCATAGTTGCATGGTAAGTTTCTGTATTTATTTGGATTAGCTAGATAACATAGATTGGGTTGATCTTATTTTTTCTGCCATTTTAAAATGCTGTGGCTATAATCATTACGGCAGCTTGCTTTCACATGATTTTAAACTGCTATTGTTACGGCATTGTACTCGACAGCTAGTTGACTATATGCATGGTTCCCTGACCAGCAATATCCTTAGTTGTTTTTAAAACAACTATTTTTCAAAAACGGTTGTCTTTTAATAAACATATTCGAAAAAGGAATTGTTTTTTAAAATCATTTTTGAAGTAGGAATAAAACGTATTTTATGGTTCAAAAACCAGGTTTGAAACATGTTTTTAAACTGTTTTATTTTTTCCCTATTTTTTTGAGGTGGCGAAATCCACCCAAATAAAACATGTTTTTTAAGAACAGATTTGTTTTAAAAAAACCTGTTTCAAACAGAATCAAAAGATGTTTATTTTCTGTTTGAATTCGATGGGGGTATAGAGTTTGGAACATTAACCGTACGGGAAAGTTTAAACTTCAGTCCCAGAAGTGTTTGGTGACAGGGACATTGTCATACCCCAAAAAAATGAAGAAAGAAAAAAATGACATTGAATCACGTGAAACTTTGTTTTACATTTCCGTCATCCAGCTCGATGAATTGGTGTCGGTGGACAAAGCCGAAAACCATGACTGGTTAACAACATCGGTGAAATGGACAGGCTATGGCTAAGCCGGAGCCCCCACCAGGAAATGCCTGCTTTATGAATAGCTGGGGCAAACACTTTATCTGCAGGGCATACATTGATTGTGCAAGGTATTGGATCAATAGGTTTGCAGCGGGTACTACCATTTCTGATGAGCAGAGTAGGCATGCACTTGTGAAGGACGGTCTTAGTGGGATTGTGTATGGAATTCTTTCCTATATTTAAAGTCTAACACGTATTTGTCCATCAAATTAGTAGACTCTTTTAATGTTTCCTTGCCCGCCAACGCAAAATAAACTACACTCTGTCAGAAATCAGGAAGGAAGACACAGCTAATAAATTTCTGATAAGATGTCTGGATCCCAAGCCACACTCAAGAAAGACTATTTCCTTAACCGTGTCATGGATTCACTAATTAGATTCATGTTTCTGCACTGTATTTTTTTCAGTTACTCACCCTCCTTATAGGCTAATCAGAAAGTGATGCCTTTTTCAGATGTCTAATTTTCGTGAAATTTCCAGATTCGTTTGCACACGTTTTCGTATCAAAATTTCAACATGAAATTTCACGAAAATTAGACATCTGAAAAAGGCAGCACTTTCTGATTAGCCTATAAAGAGGGTGAGTATGCTTCTAAAGCAAAAATAAACTGCAAACCAAGCCTTAATGTGAACATCAAAATTTGACAAAGTTCGAAATGTTTTTGTACATGGTGGACGTGTGGCCTATGTTTACGGAGGTAGTCCAGTAAATTGGCCACATTTATAGGGCTAGGTAGACTCTACAATCATGTAGACTCTACAAACATGTAGAGTCTACTCAGTGCGGGCCATAGAGTAGGGCTATGTAAAAACATGCTTAATAATGTTGAGACCTAGGAATTTATGGCAGTCATGTGACAAAAATACATAGGTCGCCAAAAAAATTGCGCCGCTAAACAAAAAATGAATACGACGCAAAAAACAAATGCGCCGCCTAAAAAAAAAATGCAACGCCAAAAAAAAAGCGCAACCCAAAAAAAAAGGCGACGCCAAAAAATAAATGCGCCGCCCCCCGAAAAAAGGCGACGCCAAAAAAAAAGCGAAGCCAAAAAAAAAGGCGACGCCAAAAAAAATATGCGCCGCCCAAAAAAAATGCGCAGCCAAAAAAAAAGGCGACGCCAAAAAAAAGGCGACGCCAAAAAAAAAAAATGAGACGGCAAAATAAAAATGCGACGCCAAAAAAAGAAAATGTGCCGCCAAAAAAAAAGGCGACGCCAAAAAAAAAAAGCAGTTAGTATTATTTAAAACAATATTTAATGCATCATTTGCAATAAACATTTCCAATATTTCATTAATTCAAACCAGAATAATGATAGAACCCTATTATAATGATATAATTCAATATGCTGAGCAACATACTATTTGAACTAAACTTAGCAAAATTTGAGTCCTGCTGATGAGGCATGCAGTGCCTACATTTTTTTTTTAATTTTTATGATGTACTATCATTTTAGTTTTAATAATTTTGAGGAGTTTTGTGTCTTCTGTAGGCATTACTTGATGGACATGAAGACCCTTGAAGAGGATCGACATAAATCATACGTGGAGGTGAGTTTTTTTTCTTCCCTTTTTGTTACCGATGCACGTATATGGCTGGGTGAGTCTTGATGATGAAGCAGTGCTTACATTGATCTGGAGTTGTTTTTACTGATTCACTCTCATTTTAGTTTAATAATTGTAATGATTTTTTGTGTCTTCTGTAGGCATCACTTGATGGACATGCAGACAGAATCCAACCCCAGGATACGTCTCAGCCGAACACTGAAGACTGCCCCACCCCTGAAGGAGATTGACATAAATCATACGTGGAGGTGAGTTTCTCTTTTTCCCTTTTTGTAACCGATGCACGTATATGGCTGAGTGAGTCCTGACGATGAAGCAGTGCTATCTGGAGTTGTTTTGGTGATCCACTATCATTGAAGTTTAATAATTGTGATGGTTTTTATGTTTTCTGTAGGCATCACTTGATGGACATGCAGACAGAATCCAACCCCAGGATACGTCCCAGCTGAACACTGAAGACTGCCCCGCCCCTGAAGGGGATCGACATAAATCATACGTGGAGGTGAGTTTCTTCTTTTTCCCTTTTTGTTACCGATGCACGTATATGGCTGAGTGAGTCTTGATGATGAAGCAGGGCTTACATTGATCTGGAGTTGTTTTGGTGATCCACTATGTTGAAGTTTAATAATTGTGATGATTTTTGTGTCTTCTGTAGGCATCACTTGATGGACATGCAGACAAAATCCAACCCAAGGATACGTCTCAGCCGAACACTGAAGACTGCCCCGCCCCTGAAGGGGATCGACATCAATCAAATGTGGAGGTAAATTATTTTCTTTCCCTTTTCTTCACGTATGCAGAAATTCCAACCTACCTTTACCTCTGTTCCCCCCATTGTTGAAAGGGGGGGGGGGGAGAGATATGCAACAATGCAAGATATAACCACTGTTGCTCCAGTATGTTTTGTTTTTACTAGTGATTCTCATATACAAAGTGACCTATCCCAAAGAAGAAAAGTGATATTCAGTAAGTTTGTGACACTGTGTTGATTTTCTTTTGTTTATATTTTACCATAGATTCCAAACCATGGGAAACTAGATTCGTACCAGACAAGTATGTCCCATGTTGATGCTAGAGAAACTGCTGAATCGTATGAGGTAAGCCAAATGTTAGTGGCATTTGCAGGTAGAAATGAGTGCAAACTTACATTGCTGCATTGATATTTTCATGCACAGTGAACCTATGTCCTGCTTGGCCGAATCGCAGTGTTTTGAAGACTTAATTGTTATGAAATTGCAAGCATAGTGTGGCAGCACAGCCAGCAGTCAGTAAAACAGAGATGCATAGACATGGGCTGAATACTACTTCAAATATGACGCCACAGGGATAAATTGTACAGTATCTTTGAGACATGTTTAAAAAATAATAAGAGCTCAATCTATGCGCATGGTACAATTATCGACATAAAAAGTGGTACAGTCGAACCTTGATCAGAAGAGCATTGTTAATACAAGGCTCTGCTTGTAACAAGCAACATTTTTGGTCCCAAGGTTTTAGTTTTTCTTTGTTTTTCTTTGTTTCTATTACTGTTAGACAAGGTACCTGTTATAACAAGGTAATTCGTAAAGTCCAAAGGATCTTGTTATAAAGGTGTTCAACTGTATTTTTATCATTCATGCACTGCAGTTCATTTACGTTATGATTATTCTTTCCCATTTGTGCAGAATCGCAAGGCACGAAAAAGAAAATGTCGTCAAGAAGAATGGCAACAACACATCCAGAAGCAAAAAAGAAATTGTGGCAAAGCTTATATCTCTAGAGGTGACAAAAATCAACCTGCTAGGGAGATGGGGCCTCCTTGTGCAGGCAAAAATGCATGGCAAAAATGCACATCACACATTTCTTCCACTGAAAGAGATGCAATATTTGTTCAGTACTGGGCAACAGGTTCATATGAAAGCCAACGAGACTTCATTGTTCAAAACGTGCAGGAAGTTCCTACAGGTACTTGCACATGTAGCAAAAACAAGAAAGGGTCACGTTCAAAATGCGCATATGTTTATCACATGCCACTGAATGAAAGAAAGGTACGTGTGTGTCGGAGGTTCTTTCTAAACACTCTTGGAGTTTGGCAAAAAACAGTGGGCTACACCTTAAAGAAAAAGTAAGGATTCTTTTGCGCCCAAAACAAGAGAGGAAAACATAGGCCAGCGAACAAGACTTACGATGACAACTTGACAGAAATCCGAAATCACATCAAAAGGTTTCCAGTATTGCCTTCGCACTACTGTAGAAGCAGTACAAAATGGAGATACCTCGCCCCAGATTTGAGTGTGGCAAAAATGTACGATTTGTACTGTGATGAAACTACACAACCACTCTCACTGAAGGTATACAGGTTTTCAATACTGAGTTCAACCTCGGTTTCCACATTCCCAAGAAGGATAAGTACAAAACTTGCACTTGTTTCGCCAACGCAGCACCCGAGCTTAAAAAAACAACTTGAGACAGGCCAACAACAACACCTGAAAACTAAAGAAAGGGCAAGAGAGGAGAAGGCTAAAGACAAACATAGAGCACTCATTGATCCATCATTTTCATCATTTACAATGGACTTACAGCAGGTCTTGTTAACGCCTTCAGCTAGCACCTCTGTGCTGTTTTACAAACGAAAGTTATCTTCCTATAACTTTACAGTCTACGACCAGAGCGATGGGGATGGAACATGCTACATGTGGACTGATGCTATGGGTGCAAGAGGATCATGTGAGATAGGAACCTGCCTTATCAAGCATCTGTCGACACTACCTAAATCAGCGAAGAACGTCACAATATTCTCGGATAGCTGTAGAGGACAAAATAGGAACCAGTATATATCGACAGGATTGCTGTACGTAGTCCGAACATCATCTGTCTCAGTCATCGAGCAGAAATTTCTGGAAAGTGGCCACACTCAAATGGAAGCTGACTCCATGCACAGCTCGATTGAAAATGCCAAAAAGAAGGTCCCAACGTATCATCCTGATCAATGGGCCACCCTCGCTTCAATGGCAAGACAGAAGAAACCCTACAAAGTTGTTTAGCTAAGGTATACAGAGTTGCATGATCTCAAAAAACTATCCCAAAACATTCTGCATAACGTCAAGAAGGATACAAATGGTGACACAGTACACTGGATGAAAATCAAGCACTTGTTGTATGACAAGGACTCCCCTCATCTCATCAAATTCAGATACGACTATGATGAAGACCTCGGGGCTCTCCATGTGAGTGCCTCGGGGAGAAAGAAGGGCAAAGAAATGCATCTGGAAAGCAGATACAGTGCACCACTGAAGATATCTTCAGCCAAGAGGGCAGACCTCCTCAGTCTCTGTGACACGAACGTGATTCCACAGGTGTTCCCCTCCTATCGTAATCTGGCCTTTCAAGAAAAGCCTTCTAGCAGCTCCCAGTCAGACGAGGAAGCAGCAATTACTGAAGAATAGAACATTCTTTGTCGATACATATTGCACTTTGCCCTTCAGGGGGACCATGCACTGTACATTGTAATATAATTGTTGAAAATACACAATTGTGTCACATTAAAGCTACAGTCCATCTTTTGCAGCTATCCAAAAAGTAACTGACATAATTATTGTTGAAAAACATACTTGGTTCAAAGATAATAAGGGAACTTAACTTACTGTGTAATGATTCCTTATGGCATGCTGCCATTTTGAAGAAATCGACGAAAGAGGCCTTTCCAACGATTTCTGTTAGTGGTTCGTTATTTTTGGTAAATATGTTTGTGTATTAATACATGGCATGTAAAGTAAGATAATAAGCAACCCTCTTTCACAAATGTTATATATATAACACAATTTGGGTTTTGTTGTCCAGCAAAGTAATTTGTCAGTAACAATAACAATGGGTTGTCCAACACTTTTCATGCATTTAAGAGGAGTAGAAAGTTTAACAAAATACATTCCTACAAAGATTTCACTTCATGACTCGGGACAGTACATCAATAGCTTTTTATTTATTTATGTCGTTTTGTTTAACCAGAGTGGCCATACAAGAACCCAGTTATCACAGTCTATTCTGCCAAGGGGCCATGAATTATGATAAAGTAATAACAAATTACAAGAAATTTAGTTATTTATTTATGTCGTTTTGTTTAACCAGAGTAGCCAAAAAAAACAGTTATCAAAGACTGTTCTGCCTAGGGTCCATAAATTTTGATAAACATAGTAATAACACACACAATTCAAATTAATTTAACCATTCTTTGTGTACTTCTGTACATTGTATATTTCAATTTAATCAAATTTGAAGATGAATTATTGCAAATAAACCAAATTCACAAATATCAATTACAGTAGACAGTGCTTAATATATTTCTGTTTTTGTAGCGGATCATATAGGTTTCTTAACCCCCCCCCCCCCCCCCCCCATCGGATTCAACTATTCACCAACCCTGGTGAGGAGTGCATCCTGCATACACATTGTCATACAAACCAGTCAAACTTCTGAACATAGGTTAAGAAATCATCTGGTGCATAACAGAAACTTGTTATGCCCTCCAAATTTGCCTAAAACCACACTGATTTGTTTGTCTTTAAGCAAAGATAATTCGTTTTATGCCAATAAACACGCTAATGCCCCTACGTATCAACGTCCTGTTCAGACATTCTTCCCAGCAGAAGGGCATATGGGCGCTTACGCCCTTAATCGCGGAAGCCAACGCACCACAATCTTCCCAGCAGAAGGGCATATGTGCGCTTACGCCCTTATGCGCGAAAACAAACGCGCCACATTCTTCCCGGCAGAAGGGCACATGCAGAAAACTGCCTCTATTTCAATGAATTTCAAACATTTTCATCTGATATTGACATAAATTGTTCCCAGAATTATAATCCATACATGTGAAAAATTTCAAATGCGTACGATTTTTAAGACGCGTGGGAGAACGTTCTATGCACCTACATCCACTGCAACGGATGACATTATCAACAACTTCTACTCACAACTACAAGATGTGATCAATTCAAACAAAAAGAACTGTGAAACACTTGTCGTGGCTGGTGACTTCAATGCCAAACTTGGAAACCAGCGCATCCCTCTTGTCATGGGACCCCATGGCTATGATGACAGAAATTCAAGAGGAGACAGACTTGTTGATTTCTGCATGGTTAACAACCTCACTGCCGCACACTCCTGGTTCCCCAAGCGATCTTCTTACAAGGTTACTTGGATCAGCAGGGCAAGAAATGCAAAAAAAGCCATTGATCACATCTTAATTAGCACAGAAGCAAGGAACCACCTGACTGACTGCCGTTCCTACAGTGCTTGCTTTGATACTGACCATCGGTTAGTAATCTGCAACCTGAAGTGGAAACTCCGTCGTCATGCTACTGCACGTGGACTACGACCTCAACATCTAAACGTTGAAGCCCTGAAGTCGGAACAATCATCTGAAGTCTACAAGTCTACAAGACTTACGTGTTACTCAAGGTGACTCTCTTGGTGAGAGTGAAGGTGAAGCTATCGCATGTGTCATACACGAAGCATCTCTCGAGACCTGTGGTACACAAACATCCCAGAAGAAACAGCCGTACCTGTCTGAATTAACTCTTCATTTGATTCAGCGCAAGAGGAAGGATGTAGGCACTCCAGAATTCACAGCTCTGAGGAATGAGGTCAAACATCCATGCCAGAAAGATCTCAACGAATGGTTGGTAACTAATATCAACACATTGAACCAAGCATACCAGAATCACAATTGCAGAGCTATGTTCAAAACTGCTGATGTTCTCCTTCAGAAAACATGTACGCCTGTGGTGAACATCAAAGATGCAAACGGTCTGCTATTGGAGACAGCTGAAGAAGAAATACAGCGTTGGCATCAGTATGCTGTAGATCTATTTGAGTCCAATCGGCCACGTCCACCCCATCACACAACTGAGGTTGAACGAAACCCACCGTCACCGGAAGAGACCAAGGAAGCCATACAGGCACTGAAAAACCACAAGGCTCCCGGAGTTGATTGCGTCAAATCTGAAGCTCTTAAAGCTGCGACACAGGACCCAGAGATATTCAAAACCCTTCATGGGGCCGTGTGTAACATCTGGAACTCTGGGAAGTGGCCACAGTCGATGACCAAGTCAGTGTACATCAAAAATAGTAAACGAGGCTTGTGCAACAACTACAGAACACTTGCACTAATCAGTCAGGCCAGCAAAATTGTTCTGAATGTGATACAACGCAGACTGGAAAGAACCGCTAACATCGAAGTGAGTGACACCCAATGTGGGTTTGTAAGCGGTAAAGGCACAACTGATGGAATCTACCTCCTGAAAGGTGTGGCCGAATCGCACTACGCAGGAAAACGCCCTCTCCGTCTGGTCTTTGTTGACTATAAGAAGGCATTTGATTCAGTAAATCAAGCGCTTCTGTTTGCAAAGCTACGATATCTTGGCGTGGAGGAGGATGTGATGCGGCTACTTGAGGATCTTTACATCAACTCAAATGGCAAGCTCCGGTGGAAAGGTCGGATGACAGACGAGTTTGAGACACCAGTCGGAGTACGCTAAGGCTGTCCATTGTCACCAACAGTCTTCAGCCTCTACACTGAGTGTCTTATGCGAGAGTGGTACAATCGCACAGCAAACCTAACGGCTCCAGATATCAGTGGTATTCCCCTAAAGGAGATCAGATATGCTGACGACCTGGTACTGATGGCGCTGTGCAGAGCTGATGCTGAAGAGATGCTTACTACCCTGGGTGATATATCTGACGGGTATGGATTAGCCATCCAACCTGGTAAGACTGCATATATGATCATCCAGCCAAGAACCGATGACAGCACCATCACATACCGCTCGGCACAAATACCTCGTGTCACATCTTTCAAGTATATAGGAGTGTTGATCGACCACACACTAGGACGACAGCAAGGAGGTTCTGAAGCGGTTAGGTATGGGCAGATCCCCTCTTCGGCAGTGCAAGTATCTGCGCTCCCCCCTGCGTCAGCCTTGAGGTAAAGGTACAGTTTGCTCGGGCTCTAGTCGTATCAAGGTAACTGTATGGTGCCACCACCCTGTCGTTGAAGGCAGCTGACATCAAACGCCTAGACAGTTATGGCCGAACCATTTGGCGTCACCTGCTCAACATCAAGTGGCAAGATCATGTGACAAATGAAAGACTGATGGAGATTATCGGCGACCGGTGGTGCTTCAGCAGTAGCAGTGTGATGGAACGAAAGGCAGCATGGTTGGGCCATGTGGTTCGGCATGGCGGCAGCTGTTGTGGATGGGATGCCAGTTGGATGTCGTCGCTCCGTGGGCCGGCCAAAGATGTGCTGGGTGGACAACATTCGTGAATGGTCTGGGTGTGACACCAACGAACTGAAAGCAGCAGCACACGGCTGTTCCAGCGCTAAATAATGGCGCCCTCTGTCGTTCTAATCGCGCCAATCGAAAATCTCCGTAAAATGACGTCACCGACACTCTTCGTGGGTCGGGCCAAGCGAGTTTCATATCATGAATATTTATATCTGGGAATATTTGGAATGTAATTGGTAGATTAATCGGTCAAAGTTCAAAATGTTTCTTTTTCAAAAGTTTGTTATTTTCCCCTTATTTCCATATATGAATATTAGCTCATGAATATTAAATTACTGAAAACGGCGTCCGTCAAAACTGGTGTTCGACCGAGCTGATTATCGCGGTGTGCGGTCATGTGAAAAATTTGTCACATTAAAAGGTGTTTTTCTCCAAACAAGAGGTTTTCCCCGATGTAAGGCCCACATCAACTTTGTTTTGGAGATACGTGCTGCATATCTTTTGAAAGTGCAAAAAAAAAATATTTGATGCTTCTTTCTGCAGGACATACCAGATGGTGACATCAAAAAGGAACTCCACACCCCAAGAAATGAGCCACCGAAGCTGGTAATCTTCACATCAAACAACAAGCTGCAAGCATCTTTTGTTGTAGCTGATGGAGTCAGTATTATGAGTGAGAAGGGTTCTACTGCCACTGCTGCAATCCTCTTACTCATTGGAGTGTACTACCTATTCGACCTGGAGTACCCAAAGACTTATTCTCAGCTCCTTGGAACACTCCAGAACCATGTTGTTAAGGGTGTGCCCTATGATGGCCAAAAGAGTGCCAAATTCAGAATGTTCCAAACGGCTTTGCAAAGAAAATTAAAAGCTGTTGCTGAAAATTAAAACAAGTTGCAGTAGAACCCTTCTCACCTTATTTTGTCCATTACAAAACATGCTGCTTAAACTCATTAGGCCAAGAAGAAAAAAACATGTTTTCTGTTACAACACAAATATTTAGGGTACTATATCTTTTTTCTCCTAACTGTTGTACTGCGAAATATTAGGGTAGGATGATAATCAGTTATATTTTGAACCCTTGCACTTTGTAACAGTTAACATTTTGTAACATTTAACATGTGAATTAAGTGTTTAAAGAATGTCGTGATTGTGGATACAAACAAACAAAATTACTGAGTAAGCCACTTTTTTTCAGGCTTAGGGGTGGAACAAATTACTGTGATGCCTCCAAATTTCTTTTTTAAATCACAGTTTTATCGATATCAGCATGGTCTTCCAGGTAGGAAGACACAAGTATTTTCTTACTTGACCCTACTGCAGTTTACATTTCTCCAACTTTTGCTTGGATGGGCAAGCTAGATTGAGCAAACTGCATCAGCTAAAAAAGTCAAATGTGTTATTTAGCTTAATTTTTGTATAGCATTGATACATTTAGTTTGTTACTTGTTTCAGCAAGTTTTTATTGCATAAAAGGCCATGAATGTGCACATACATTGGCCCAGTCAAAAGTTTGGAAATAAAAATGTTTAGTACATGTTCAAGTTTTGGTAATTTTAAAGAAATTACAATATTATGTATGGTAAAGAAAACACCAAGAAAACAGAACTTTCATAACCACAGTCTTAACAAGTACAAGAAAACAAAATGTGCAAATAAAGATATGATGCGTGTTATACACTTAACTGCAGCTGCAAACCAGCTTTTGGATTACTAGTATATAAAAATATACAGATTTGAAAAATTAAGGATGTTTTTTTATTTTCTGAAGACGAATTTCAAAGCGCCTTCCAGGTGGTTAGGCCAATAGAGGCTCTGAGTGCTGGGCTATTTTGTTACGGCACTGCCTTTTCAGTGCCAAAGAAGCACGAAAAAACCTTTGAAATTCAACACATGAATAGTAGTAGTGAAGCCCAATGCATATACATGTATTGTTAAACATGTTTCGTCTTATTTAACACTTAAGCACTTATAAACGTGTTAAAATGTTTATAAACCGTTGCAACATGTAAACATGTCAAAGTGTTTATATTTGAACACTTTCTTATACACGTCACAGTGTTTATTTGAATAAACCATGCGTTTAACTGTTAAACAGTGTGTTTATCAGACCAGTTCTTCAGAGTGTTAAACACGTTTGTTTATGTGGATAAATACTCTATTCGTAAACGTGTTAAACTGTTTAAAAAGTGTTGCAAATAAGCATTTATAATGTGTTTAGAAACTAAACACCTGGATTTACAGTGTAGGAGGAAACCTCCTAATGTTGTGCAGGATTAACTGCTAGCGACCTCTAATCTTGCCCAAAAAATTAAGCAAACCTGCTACCAGTCGATGTGCAAGCTCCATGTATTTGTGGTGTTTATTTGCCCAAAATAAGGGCATGCCCAGTTTCCACAGACGAATCATTTCTGGTCCATTGTTCTCACGTTCGGCATCGATGTTGCTTAGAATGAAGAGGCCATGCCAGAGCAAAGCCGTACTATATTCTCTGATGCCGTCTCTTTCCTCTTTCCTACTTCCTGCGTTGTAGCAGTCAGTGGAGCAGAACCAGTCTCCTTCTGAATTAAAACAAGAAGAGTAACGTTGTCACTTAAGCAAAATGAATTGGCTACATATTTGTTACTAAGAAATCAATGAACTTTATGACGTCACTGATTTGAAAATCATGATAAACGTGTATGAAAAAGAATGGAACTGGAAGCGCTTTGCCAAGTGAAACACTGATAATGATATACGCGTGTAATGGTTCAATTTGTGAAACAAGATTTTAAAGGGATGTGTTTGGTAGCCATTCAGTGGCTACCAACCAATTTTTCAGTGGGGGGGGGGGGGCTGGTTCATGGGGGGGGTTCATGGGGGCGTCATGTAGATCAATTATTAGTCATTACACCTATTACTGATATGTCGTTTTCATTCGTGGCTTCAGCTTGCAACTAATGACCTTGAAATTACAAGTACAAAACAGCATGCATGGATAGCTTCGCACTTTTACATTGACATTTTTTATACATTGTACAAACCTGGGCTTGAAGACAGTCCAACACATTCTAGGTGGAACCACCGTGGTCCGCTGCACAGCTGTCCTTGAAAGCGCTCCACTAAAGGAGACTCTGGCTGTACCGTGCGACATAGGCAGAAGATGCTGTAATTTTTGCACTCGTCAGCACACCGCCAATCGTCTTCTTGGCCGACCTCTTCTGCATTCAAGCCGACACAGTTCATGTGATACCATCGGTGCCCAGTGCAGTTTTTCCGCCCACTACACTCAATCCAGTCTCCTCCTGCACAATAACAAAAAATAATCATATATAATTTTGTTTTCATACACATTATAATTTAATTATATCTCCTTAAACCCGTCAAGGTTCCCGTTTGCAAGTTTTGTAATGTGTTCAAGGATAAACCAAGTTTTATTTGTAAGGAGTGCATGGAGTTGGGCGCTTGGAGTTTCTTCGTGTAAGTTGTCTTGCTATTGTGCGTTTAACGTCATTTCTTCTTAATATGATTTTGCCATTATTTGTACATGTATCTTTCCGTAAACATTTTTTTACATGAATATCAATTTGGGATCTCTGTGTAGGCGCGCTGAAGCGCTCTAGGGGGCTGGTCATTATTGATGCAACGGATTCTTCTTACTGATGATTACAGTCATTTATTGAATCACCGTGAAAACTGAGAGAAGATAGATACAGATATAGAGTTCAATGAGCACCAATTAATTAGAGAATTACAATGAAATCAATTGACTATATAAACAACCACTCGTATGAAATGAATCAATGTGAGCGCATATACTCTCTTAACCAGTACGACGTGTCTGCGCTCTAACAAAATACTGAGATAGGCATTAATATAAAGTAGCTAATATAAAGTTATTGAAATAGCAAATGTCATACCGTTTACGCCTTCAGACCAGCTTTACTATATGAGGCTGTGGTAATTCGGCAAGATACTCTCTGTAATGGTATGGACCTGATGTATTTAATTTTGTTTTAATAATGACAAATGAAATTTGACGTGACAACAAGTTTCAGTTATTGCAATATTTCTAATAACCGTCTGAATTTCCTCATTTGATCCCAACTCCTAGATCTCTCTAAACTTCTGTAAATATTATGTCTGTTTTAAGTTTAAAATTGAATGAAATGAACTAAAATGATTTTAAATGAATTGGAATGAAATGAATTCAAATGAAAATGAAATGAATATAAATGGAATAATATTTATGAAATGAAATGAACTAACAT